AACCTTAATTCTGGATTTCTTGATTGTAAATTCGAGGAGAGAGAGATCCAAGGCCCAGAAGACTTAAGTTCTTCAACCCACCTTGGACCAGATACTTGTAATTTGAGTTCAGTCATTCTATTCCATCATGTCAGCTTCACGTTAAGCTGCTGCTATCTTTTTAGCAGATAAAATGTCTGTCTCTCTTCTTCGTGATCTGCTTCCCATCCGTCTCTTCATTTATTCATTTGCTCACATACCCAACTGCCATCATTCCTTTTCTCATCTCAGCTCAGTGAAATTTGGCCTCTCTCCCATTCCCTCTTTCATCAGCATCATTGGAGTGCCGACTGTACGGCCAGTGGGAACTTCCAACCCCAAAGCACGTTCAAATGGATTCTGACGCGATAGCACACACCACCTCTACTGTGTGACAGGCAATGTGTCACACTGGGGAGTGAAGCGTGCTTAAGAGAAACTTCGCAGGCTCGGAGGGTAAGACGCGGCGTCCCGGGATAGAACTATTAGTTCTGCTACACCTGTTACTGCTGTCGGTGTATCGAGTGGCCCCACGCTGAGTGGCCTGAGAGCCCGATGCTGGGAAGCTCTGCCTGGTAGCACTGCCTGGTTCTGTGCCAGCCGTTCGGTTGGTGCTCTGTTTGAGCTCATTGCCGCAATCACAGTTCAGCCCATCTCCTGGAGGGTCTTCCTTCTGCTTCACCAAGTGGGCTGTCCTTGTCCAGAGATTGCCTGGTAATTCCAGTGGACTCTTTTAGGACTTTGCATTGACCTCCCGCGAGCTCTCTTCATTGTTTTCCCCAGTGACAGGTACGTCAAGGAAACATGCCCTACACCCCCCCCCTTGCAGTGTCTTCCTTCCTGTTTCCTTTTGAGTGTTTTTACCTTTTTCCTTGTTATCTTCTTGTGCCCAGATTTTAAACGTCTTCCCAGCTCCCGTCTAGATATTGAAGTAGCCCCTCCAGTTTACGCTCGAGTCTCCCCTTGCCCCCTTTCCCTTCTGTGTCACCTGACTGCCTGGATCAGGTATTTCAGAGTCTTGTTCAGTTGTTTCTCTTTCTCACGCTGGTGGTGCTGCCTCACGATAGCCTTGCAGTCCCAGAGGCCAGCCTTCTGCTGTCAGTTACCTCACAGCAAGGACCTTCCTCTTCCGCTCTGTCGCAGACCATTGTTCGTGCTTATACTCAAGCGGTCGTCAAAACAATGTCTGTCATATTATCATTTAACTTAATCTTTTAGCACCTTCCCTCTTCCCTCCAGAACCAAGTCTATGTGGTATCACCTGGTTTCCGAAGTGCTTGAACATCTGTTCCCATCCACCTTTCCATCTTCTCCATGGCCCCGGTGCTTGATTCACAGAGGACACTCGCAAAGGATTGGATGGGCAAGTGGGAGATAAAGAGCCCACCTGGCACAGTGGTTAAGTCCTCGACTGTTTATGAAAAGGACAGCAGTTCTAGCCCACCAGCCACTCCGTAGGAGAAAGGTAGTCTCCTTCTGTGAAATGTTAAAGTCTTGCAAACCCTGTGCTCACAAACTCACTGCTGTTACCATGGAGCAGGCACATAGCTGGCCCTTTGGCCGACTTTCCGGAAGCTGTAAATCACAAGGAAGGAGACTGACTGTTGTTCTATCACTGGTGGGCTCGAACCGCCAGAGAGGCGCTGCCTTTGGGTTTACAGCGCAGCTCCCTCTGGACTGCACCTCCAAGGAAGTTCACGTGATGATTTTGAATTTGTTTCTTCTTTTCTGTTCGGAGTAGAGATAGAGGATAGCTAATCACCATGCTCTTGAGCCATAAGGCATCGATTAAATCACTTTCCTCTCCTCTCTTTTCAAATTGAGTTTTATTTGTTCTCTAACGTGTAGAACATATGTGTTGTTTTGTTTGTTTGTTTATTTTTTTAATACGTAAGACTTGTCATTAAAAGTCACCTGTCTTTTCTGCAACTCTTTTTGATGCTGGATCCAGCACTGGTTGATTATTATCAAGGAGAAGAAAGTCTGCATCGACAGTCTAAACTGTAACTATCAATGCAGTCATTTTTGTTTCATACTTAACTGTCATCTGTTGTTGTTACCTGCTATCACGTCACCCCCTCACTCCTCGTGACCCTGTGCCTGGTGGAATCACAGCACTGTGGGCTTTTGTTAGCCACAATCACTATTAGATCCCTAGACCTTTCCCCCTAATCTGTCCTAGTCTCCCGACTGCTGAAGCTTGCAACACTTCCTCTGATGACAAGACAGTGGTGACTGTCCTTGAGAGCATTGGTTGGGAAGTGCAGCGGAATCTGCCCCGTGAGAAGGACATTTCTACAACTGAGTCATCCCTACACTCAGTTTTCATTATAGATTGGCCTCATCAGATTTAGAATTTCGATGAGCACCATCAAGTCATTGCCAACTCCAGTGACCTTACAGGAAGGGCATCGTAGAACCACTCTGTGGAGTTTCTGAGGCTCTGAGATTTTCACATCTTCCATAGAGTGTCTCATGGGCTCACACTACCATTCTTTTGGTTAGAGGTCAAGTGCTTTAACCATCATGGAACCAGGGCTCCTGTTATAAAGGAACCAGGGCTCCTTTATAACAACCCAGAAACCAGAGCCATAGTCCATTCCAACTCATAGGACCCTTTCATTGTCTGAAACTGTAGATCATTATAGGAAGGGACAAGACTGCCGACTTTGTTACATGGAGCTGCTGATAGAGTAGAGGTTCCAGCTTTCTGGTGAGCAGCATTCCACATTCCACTCCTCAGCAAGGCAGGAATGATTCGCCTTTTCTCTGTGACAAAGGTGAATCAAAGCAGATAGGTTGCACATCTTTTTTGGATTATACACTCAGATACTCAGATTGAGGAAGAGTGGAAATAGATCCATTGGCTTGTACCCAAACACCAAGATTCTTTATAGTCTTTGTCTCAAAGTAATTAGCTGATTGTAGCCAAATAATAGATCTTCTTTCTGTCTCATTACTTGAAAAACTGAGATAGGAGATCGTGACTAGATGACCTCTTATGTTATCTTCCAGCTTGTAAAGTGTGCAGAGCACTGCTACTGGTTGCGTGTTGTGTACTTGATGACGACTAGTTGATAAGTTGAGGATGCTTGTGGTAATTACATTTAGAGCCTGGTGATGTAGTGAGCGAAGTGTTGGGCTGCTAACCAAATATTCAGCTGTTTGAACCCATTATCAACTCTAGGACAGAAAGTTGCGGCAAGTCTGCAGACCTGCAGCCTCTTTCTACTTTGCCCTCTTTTGTTTCCTGAGTTGAAATTAACTGATGGTAGATTTGGGTTTTGTGGTTTTCTATTTGGAACTAGTAAGATTAATTAATTGTTTTATTAAAAAATACTATCACCTCTGTGTTCTGCGTACAGCATCATAGTATATTTTCAAAGAATGTAGCTTTCAGAGTTCACCTTTTTTTAGAGGAAAGAAACATACAAGTCAGTGCACTAGACTGTTAATTTATGCTCTGATGCAGGTCTCTCTGATGTGTATCAGGCCATGACAGAGAGTTTCCTGGATTGTGCTTGATGACCAGAGTCTCAGCAAAGGGCCAGTGACTCAAGGAACCAAGGATGAAGACAGAGAACACAATTTCCCTGAAGCAGTAGGGTCAGCAGCTTGATGAGGAGACTAAACTTGGAGGATGAGGAAGGAGGGTTGGTGGGTAGAAATCATTTTCCCCCTAAGCAACTTAGACTATGAAGAGAAAATTGGTAGACAAGATGATGAAAGATAATTTCCAAGTAAGGAAATACCAAGTTAATCTGAAGGCGGGGCTGAGGGGGGAATTGGAGAACTTACAGAAAAAAGGAGTTTGTCTTGAATAATAATTGAAAAGATGAAATTAAGAACAAGGTTGAAGACCACAGGTGTTAAAACAGAAAAAAAATGCTTACGGTGGCAGCCCAGAGGTTGAGGAACAAGTGTGCATAACTCAAGTCTTCAACTTTTTTCTATTTGAAAATTTTAAAGTAAGATATTAGATGATGTTGTTATGTGCCGTCGAGTCGTTTGTGACTCATAATGACCCTATGTACAACAGCCCTAAACTCTGCTCTATCCTGTGCCAGTCGCATGGCCTCTGACACACCCATCCCGATTACCCCAGTCACTGAATCAATCCACCTCATAGAGGGTCTTCCCCTCCTGCGCTGTCCCTCTACTCTACCCAGCATGATGTCCCTCTCTAAAGACCTGTCTCTCCTTACATGTCCAAAGTATGTCAGACGAAGCCCCAGAATCCTTGCCTCCAAGGAGCAGCCTGGTTTAACCCTCCCTAGGATGAATCTGTTTTCTTGGCAGTCCATGGTACATTCAGTACTCTTCTCCAGCACCACAGCTCAAAGGTGTCAATTCTCCTTCTATCCTCCCTAGTCATCTAAATATTAGATGAGACAAAAAAAAAACAAACCCAAAAAACAAAACAACAACCAAAAAAACCCCACAAACATAGGTTGAACAGAGCAAGGGGGATAACTTCTTATTGTGGCTGGAAATTGTGAAAGATCAAGTTTAAAGCCTCGGTGTCTTTAGTAAGGTGGGACTTACTCTCCTCTGTTGAGGCAGGTGGCCAGGAAAAGAGGATTCTTGAGAAAGCAGGATGGAGTAAACACTGTTGGGGGCAGTAAGAGTGAACTGAGCAGACCTGGGCGATAGGATTAAGTGGTGATGCGCTGGTTCAGGTGAAGTTGAAGGTCACAGAGTTGAACTACTGTGGAGTTTCCCCCAGGATTTACCAAGAGTCAGCAAGTTAGTCTGACCATTGAAGGGCAGTCGTTGAAGAAAGTTGAAATCGGATGAAGACACAGTTTACCAGCAGTGTGTTCTAGAACAAGCCTCCACCTCTCTGGGTTCTTGTTGGGGGAATTCTGTTTTCTGCCTCCTTCTATTTTTCACTTGAATACAGATGGTATTAAAATAACATTACACAATTTGATTAACATTATTGTTGTTAACATGTAAGGTAATCTTGTCATCTTCCCCAGGTGAAAGAAGAACGTCCAGACAATGTACCAGATTTAAAATTATTAGTGGAGAAGAAATTTACGGCGTTGCAGAATAAGAATTCTGATGCAGACTTTCAAAAAAATGAGAAATACGTGCAATTTAAACAGCAGCTGAAAGAACTGAGGAAGCAGTGTAAGTTTGCATGCTTTGCTTTGTTTTGACTTTAATGAATTCGAGAACTGTCTTGATGAACACTCCCAGAAAAAAAAGTGTGCTTATCTGCTTGGCTTGATCCTTTCTGAATTGCTTTTTGTTTTTGTTCTAATTCTGTGTTTTTTGTCTAACTTCTGGTCCAAATCAGCCTCCAGCTTTGAAAGCCAACAGTTTCCACAAAATGCTGGGAAAATTCTCCAGCAGACAGACAAAGCCATCGAACATGATCCCATGCCCGGGAGGGGAGTTGGGAGAACAAAATTTAAGCAAAGACCTGTTCAGTCTTCTTGGTTCCATTTGTTAAAACAATGGCCGCGGTTTTTCCATATTTCAGGCTGCTGTGCCAAGCTTTAAAATAACCACAATTTATTCTGATTTGGCGGCTTTGGCATATTAGCAATATTTTCTCAGAGGGTTTTAACTCTTTTTGTCTCCTCTTTCTCAAATATGGACAACAAATTCTCTTGATTCCTTCTAATTTTGTGGTAGAATAAATTTTAGATGAGTTTTAAATTTATTGCCTTCTTAATGACTTTATTATACTTGGGTTTTTTAAAAAATCTACTTAACTTTTATTTTAAAATGTAAGCCAGGTGAGCATTACTCGCCAGAGGAGGGATGTTTTTATTCTACAGGGTGAGTGACACATACCCCTCCTTTTCTCCTTCCCCATCTGATCCATGTAGTGATTTTCTGTAAACTTACTGTTTTTACATCGCACTTAGTTTTATTATCTTTCTTACTTTAGAATTTAAACTCTCTTATTCAGTAAAGAACTGAATAGGGAAGCAAACAACATTTTTTAAAAATGAAAAGAGGTCGCCCAAATCCGTGCCAAGTCTCACACCTTCGTTTATATACATGTGAGGCAAATCTGTTGTATAATAAGACTGTTGCATGAATTTCCATGTCCTCATTGTATTTAGTAAGGGGTTTCATATTTTGAAATAGGCTCTCTTTTAAATATAAGCATTTTCTTTAAACCGATGCTGAGATCTCAAAAAATGACTGAGGAAGCTGCTTCACTTTTGTCTATTTTACAAATAACTTTGGTTTCACAATTTGGAATGTTTTGCAATCGTGGTGAGACTCCTGCTTTTCCTGCACATTTAAGGCGTAAGCATTTCTCCCGTATTTTAACTCTACGTTGTGCTCTTCATTCAACTTCCCAGCTAGCTCATTCTTCAGAGTGTAGTTTGCACTCTTCTCGCCAATGTCTATAATAACCTTCCAAACAGGTAATAATCTGCTCATGCAGCTTTCTGACATTAAAGATGTTCATGAGTTTCACTTTTGATGTTGATCAAAGGAAACAAATGCATAAAACTAATATTTATAAATATGGTAGATGTAATGTTTAGTCCTAATTTCCAATAATTCAGGTGTTTCATAATAGAAGTTGAAGGATAAATACCCCAAAACAGAAATCTCTTTATTGTGTGTTGTTATATTTGAAGTTATACTTCCTTAAACTGTAACAACTTTGGAATCTTATACTTACCTGGCAGAGGAAACACCATGATCAGACAGGTGATTTTCCCAGGACGAGGCTCACCCATTGCACTTGGGGTGTGCTGACCCCTGCGATTTCCCCAAATGCGGGAAACCCGACTGCATAATTTGTGGTAGTGGGGGACTGCGTGCGCGCTATCCCCTGATTAAAAACAAACAAACAAAAAAAACTTTGGAATCTTATATTTGTGGGGAAACACTTGATAATTAACATATTTAACAAAATGATAAATGTTGGAATCATAGTTATTGTTTTTTTAATTCTGTGTTCAATAACACAAGAAAATTTCCCCACGCCAGCAAATAAATACACAATTGTGTGTATAGACAAACCTATGATAAGGTGAATTTAGATTGAAATAGATACTTCTTTATGTAAGATTTCCCTATACCTGATAACACTTAGGTAATTTTTTTTTCTATAATTATATTTTATTAATTTTCATAAACATTTACAGAGATTTTGGGCTTCCACTCATTCATTGTTGCACTATTCTCTCTACCCTCCTCCCAGTTTGATCTTGTCCAAATGCCACAGTGCTTGTCAAAGCCAGTTCTGATTAATCTTCTTTGTCAGTGTGTCCTTTGCCATTCCCTATCACTCCTCCCTGAGAGAGACTTCACCCTGAGTCATAAGGAAAAGGGGATGGCATATTCTCTTAGCTACTTCCTGCTGAAAAGGGACGCTGTGGGTTTCAGGGTGAAGATCTTCTCTCACTACTCTAAAGGGCCCCTTTGGCAGTAGGAAACACATAGACTATTATGGAGATTGATTTTGGAATTTAGATGCACTCTTATTGATTGTGCTTGGCCGTACATGTTCATATCCTTGAAGATGTATCATGGGGGTGTTGCAACCTAGAAGACACAAATTTGACTAACAAGTTATAAGTACATGAGTCCAAAAATTATGGAAAAGTAAAAGAAAAGATTCTTTCATTGTTTTACAAACCCTCCCCCAGGTCCCCTCCACCATGTAGCCCTCGCTCTAGTCTCCTGTGATGCCAGAAATACCCAGTTATATCTCTCTTTTAAACGGTTCTCTCCCTCCTCTGTTTCAGTGCAGTATACATTATTGAACCCATCTTACTCAGTCTCTCCCCAACCCCAAGGACAGTCCCATTCTACAACAGTGGCATCATGTAATATTTGTCCTTTTGTGACTGGGATATTTCACTCAGCATAATGTTCTCCAGAGTCAACCATTTTGAATAATATTGCATGAGTTCCTTGTTTTTTAATGCAGCATAGTATTCCATTGTGCGAATATACCACAGCTTCTCTAGCCATTCGTTTGTTGATGGGCACTTAGGTTGTTTCCAACTCCTTGTCTACACGTCTGGGCAATCAACTTGCCTTTAAACAGGAGTACCTTGACCTGTTTTAGCAACAAGAGATTGCCCTAGCAGGCGCTGAACTGACATTTTTCTGAGGTAATTTTCCCTAAGATACTCTTTTAAGAGTTTTTTTTTTTAAGTTCTCAGCAATTCTCTATACAATGTGTGTACCTTACTAGTAAAGTCTGTTTCCTAGTACACTGTTTTGGTGCTCTCAGTTAACTTTGTGCCATGTCCACTGGACTTAATTTCCTTTGATTTGTTGCTCCTTTGAGAGTTCTGAACCAGATCAGGCTCCCACTGTATCTGTGTAAATAGGGCACAGGGTCTATAGTTTATAAATGAGGCATTAAATGTGTTTGTTTTGATATGCTCAGGAGGCAAGACATTATAATAATAAAAATTATTTTTTATAATAATAATAATTTTTTAAATGGAAAAATCTAAGCAGTTTACTTAGTTTAAGCTACCTATTTAAGCAGGGAGCTCTTTTGGCCTACTGGTAAGAAACTGTGCTCCAGTCCCAGAGGGACATGGTTCGAATCCATCAGCTACCAAAGTAACTTTGAAGGATTTTTTTTTTTGTCTACTGATATCTGAAGGGTTCTTTCATGAAAAGAGACCATTAGAGAATAAATCCATGATGTTAAAATTTATCATACAGGACTGTAACCAGTGAAATGCCAGACATTGCTTAGGTGGCAGAAATCAGGATGGAGATTAATATTAAGGTGTTCTGAAAGGCTGGACACCCTTCAGCCTGATGTGCTTGGTCCGTTAATAAGCTAACCCAGTTTTATCTAGCTAACCAAGAGATTGACAGTTCAAACCACCCCCCCCCCACACACACACACATATATGGAGCTGTCTTCCTGTGCTGTGGCCACCATTTGTCATCGTCCACCAATAGACAGAGGATGTCTTTATTGAGCTAAGTCTCCAGTGCTTTGCTTTAGAATCTCTTTACATTCTTCAAATTGACGATTTCCACAGATGTTTTGGTTTCATGAGTTATGACTATTCATGAGTTATGACTATTCATGAGTTATGACTATTGATATTTATCACATTAGAAATTAAAACGGAAGAATTTAGAAAATATAGATTAATCCATGTTAAATAGCAATACTGGACTCATTAAATGTTGCCATTGGCAGCGTTTTGGATAAAATGCAACTCTCTTTTTCAAAGGAAAAAAGTAGGAGAAGTGGCACATTTGGCGTTTTTGCCAAGCTCTTTAGTTTCTGGTGTAATAAAAGGCAGTAGATCCTCAAACTCGCTTCTGCATTCCGGCTGTTGTGAAATGGTGTTTTGGTTGAAGTTGGATGAAGAGAACCTGGCCTCCTGCATGGTGGTTGGGCCTGCTGAGAGGATCTTGCTGACCACCAGAAATTCTCACTCTGAGAACCTCAAGTTGAGGCCAGGGCTCAGTAAACGGTGACCCACAGACCAAATCCTACCAGCTTCCTTTTTTTCTTTTGGTATGGCCAGTAAAACTAAAGATGGCTTTTACATTTTTAAGTTCTTTTGGGGGTGGGAATCATAGAAAGAGTAATATTTCTTGTGAAATTGAGATTTTTGTGTCCATAAAGTTTTATTGGCACACAAATGGGTTCATTCTGATGTTTATACGTTGTCTGTGGTGGCTGCTTTCACACAACGATGCCACAGTTGACTAGTTGCAATAGAGAACACATGGCCTGTGAAGCCGGAAATCTTTACTGTCTGGTGCTTTACCGAAAAAGTTTACCAAACCCTGAGCTAGATCATATCCAGACACCAGACATGACCTTTCTTTCTTTTGATTTTTTCCAACTTTAGCTTTACCATTTTCTCACTTTTATTTCAGGCAGGTTTAGACTGTCACGTGTCTCTTATAAACCAGACACTGCTGTTGGTTCTCTGAGATGGGTAAAAGTCACCGTCCCTGTACTTGGAGGAAGGACTGTATGCAAATAGGAAATAACGTAAGAACTCTCCAGAATAAATATTTGTTCAAAAGCAAAAGAAAGGTCAAGACCAAGTGTTGTACAGTAATGAGGAGAGTCAAGCTGGAAGTAGAGATTGTTCCTGTGTGCTGACAGTGTGACCCCTCGCTTAGAGACGTGTGTTCATAGTGCGGGATTTAGG